AAGAGACAGATATATATATATATAATACTGATATTACTACTACGGCTACATACTACTAACAGGCCTTTCATATTAGGTCACCCTAAATGAGAGGGATCTCAGTTGGTAATTAACGATGATCGTATCGATACCAAGTGATAGGCCTATATTTAAAAGCACACTGCAATAATAAACTTAGCAAAATGTTTTTATCGGATGTAAAATCAGCCGTGGGACTTCGTGATCTAACTCTCACCTGTCAATTAATGCAACAACACTTCTCCGTTAGTTGCAGAATACCAGAAAACAAAATGAAAATGTTTTATGTATTTATATTTTGCATAACTGTATATAAACGTATATAAAATTATATCATTTCAGCTCATCCGAATGGTAAGAAAACCTATGTGACTCTTCGGCGCTCGGGAACCAACAACATACCAAAGGCACGCGTAAAAGCCGTCAAATTGACCGCCGCAATCGTTATAGCGTATATCATAAACTGGACACCATATTTCGTTGCGACTACTATAGTAACACTTCAAGGCAAATTAACTATGTCTTGGCTGTTCCAACAAACACTTTTTGCCTTCGCTGTTCTTAACACGTGCATGGACCCGCTTATCTACGGCTTGTTCAGCATCCGATTTTCGCGCGAATTCCGAAGGTGCTGTTGGTGCATGAGTGGCCGTGATGGTCGTCTAAAAATTAACGGTACGCAAAACACGATGCCAACAGCTATGACGACACGTGGAATGTCAGGAGGAAGCGAAATGTTGCAAATTGGTGAAACGTCACAGACTACGAGGACAGAAGAGGACTGAGAATAGACCTCAGTTTGGGTTGGACGCAATGATTAATATGTAAACAGTATTGACGGACCGGCTTTCATAAATTCATGACGTGTGTGTACATAGTTGTATATTATATAGAGTATTATTAGTAATTATTACAGTATGTTATATTTATAGCACACGTTTGTATATTAGTGCAATAATAATAGGCAACGGTAGCGCGTTGCAAAACATACGCAATCAAGTCACTACGGAGGTCAACCATAATTTGCATATTCCTTCAGATGTTGACGTCAAATAATTTCTTGAGTAGTAGAAATATTTAGCTTTAGGGGAGTGGTAATACAAGTCTCCAGGAGGTGGGCGTGCAATTTATAGATCCAATTATCACAGCCTGTTCATTGTATCTATAAATTGGTAAGACTGACAGAAGGTGGAACAATTCTTTGTCAACAAACATTCAATATTCTACCAGGTACCACGCCTATTAGATGGCGAGAGACACACGTAAAGTGCATTGCCCTATGAAACAAGCGTAATGCTCAGCCCTGGATTTGAATCTAGCTGTGTCGACTGCTCCCACTTGCCACTGGGAACGAACTGTTGTGTGTTGAAACGCGCACGTGTATATTGTATGCGCGGATAAATAGATGAATGACATAATGATGTGACTGCTTAAACTAGTTCGAAGAACGTTCCTCCTGCCCGTTCTGAAAATTTCATGAAACGGGATGAGGACGGGTTGAAACTTGCGATTTTGGCTTTTACTACGACACAATATAGTTTGAAGTAAGTGCATTACGATTGCAGACGGTTTGTAAAATGTTCGCACAACGTTTAGAACAGGAAGACGTTACGTTTAATGTCGTTTTTAGTCCGTTCTTAACAAATTCCAACCCGTCCTCAACCTTTTTAACCCCGTTCGCAGTAGGTTTCAATCCGCTCTAGGACGTTTCTACGTCCGTTCAAACCAGTACACTGCGTTCTCAGGCAGTTTTTAGCACGCTCAGAACTGGGATTTGGATCATCTTCCAGCTCGATCTGCTATATACGACCCCTATTTAGCCCGTTCTAATTTTTCTGTCTAAGAAAGCGCAGGACGGGGTGGAACGTAACAACATCGGTGTTGGATCGTACTCCTATTTCCCCCCCCCCCCCCCCCACCGTTCGCGTTTTTTACCCTTTCGTTCCATGTTCGCAGTACGGCAATTCCGTTTTACAGTGCGGCAATCTTGTTCGAAATACGGCCTTACCCAGTCCTATTATTGATTTTTAAACATGGTCGACGTTCTGGACCACCATTCCCGTCTTTGCCCGTATATACCGTTCGTACTAATATTGTATTCGGTGTCTACTACGTCCATTCCGTTCATATTCCGTTTGTCCGAATTCCACCCCGTTCTCGAGAACGTAGTGCGAACTAGTTCAGTGTGAAGGGGATATTAAACATCACCACGCACGAATTTCCATGAGCATTTTTCAAACATTGAACTTTACGACAATGGCTTGTAAATTTATGTGTAGGGCCTATGTTCTACTACGTAAGCACTTTAAAGCCGGGTATTCACTGCCGCCGACGGTCGTCCCGATTCTATGAAGAACGCAACGCCACGACGCGCTTGACGATCCGTTCAGACTGTCACCGACTAAGAGTAGACGGCGTCGCGCCGTCTAGCCCTAACAGGGAGCGGGGTTTGATTCGTCGTACGACGCCGTGAGTGTCCGGCTAAAGCAACTATTCTTTAGACGTTGTGGCCAAGAATTTAATCATGTTAGCACTGCAAATAATCATACGAACAATCGAAGATAATGTTTTATTAGTTCATAGAAAAAGGTTGTTTGACTTGTATATTTAAAAATGCTGTGAACAGTTTTGTCTACTAATTTCACACTGATGCCTATAGTGAAACAATAAAGTGTATTTATTGACTATCCAGTAACGAGTTAATGAACGGCTAGTAATATGTTGTGTCATTTTTATCTGTTAATTTTTAAACTAAATTTGAGATTTATTAACGAAAAGAAACATATTAATTTATGATTTACTCTCTGATTGTTGTTTATACATTCCCACTTTAGACTAATCGCTTATCAGTCTTCTATCTTCCTAAGACACAACCATCATTTCACTATTTCTGCAACATGCATATACATATAT